TGTGTGTGTGTGTGTGTGAGATCATCAATATATCATATAATATTATAGATAAATCGGAGGAAGCTGTTACCGGAGGAGATCTTTAAGAAGGAAGGTGTCTGTAAATTGCTGTCTTGTAAAAGTTGAAGAGAACGAGAAAGTGATCTGTAGCGCAATTCGGATTGTAGGCAAGTTAAAATATTAATTGATTCGAGTCCATTATATTGTGATAGACGTTGATTTTATAACTTAGTGTATGGAAATATTAATTATTCATGAAAGCAATAACAACAAAATAAATTTTGGTAAATTTTATATTCGTATTCAGCAATCTCTAACATTTAAAAAAATAATTAAATTAATATGTTCTTCTCACACACAAAGAAGATTAGACTCTAAAAGAATTAATTAATGTTTAATCTAAATATATCATAATAAAATTATAATTGCAAAGTTTTCGGAAGTGGTGGACAAACCAGTTTATATTTTTAATGCAAACTACCTCGAATTTTTATATTTCATTCATTGTCAGTCATCAGAGGATTTTTTCTGCAGATATTTGAAGGCTGACGGATAATGGATTTTCTCGTGATTGAACGCATACACGATTCTCTCGATTTAGATACTAACTTTTTGAACTAGCTCTTACATTGAGATTTTACTTTGGAGATTTTACTATGGCGAACTCTTTGGTAATGAAGTTTTTAACAAGGTAAGATTATGCAATATAATTATAATTAAATTATTGTTTGGGAATGTTATATATAACATTAACATAATTATTTTTTAAGGTAATTATGAAGGAGAGAGACTTCCTTACCGATTTGAAACTTTACAATTTTGTGTATTTTGTTGCGTAAAACATAAATCTGTAAGTTAAAACTGTCGCTCTCAATTTTTTAGGAAAAGCGTCATTAAATACTGAAATTGATTGTTGCATGGTTAGGATGTCTGTTATATTCACATGATTATCCGTAGTGACGTAAGAATGGAATTACAGTAATAGTGCAGTATAACAGCAACTTCTCATAATAGTCTGGCGCCTTACTTTAATTGTGTGCTATTATTTGACTTTGTATTTATACTTTGTATTGCTTTTTTTATAGCAGAAAATAATTGGTATATTGAAAAGTCTATATAAATACAAAGTATAATAAATACAAAGTCAAATAATAGCACATAATTAAAATAAAGCGCCAGTCTATTATAGGGCGGGTTGCTGTTATACTGTATTATTACTATAATTTCATGCACTTTTACGTCACTACGCATGATCATGTGCATCTACATTATGTTAGTATGACAGACATTCTAACCACACAGCTATCAATTTTAGTACTTAATAACTTTTTTCCTAATAGAAAGCGACAATTTTAACTTACAGATTCATGTTTTATTAAAATACATAAAATTGTGAAGTTTTAGCCAAATCAGTGAGGAAGCCCTTTTCCTTCATAATTACCTTTTTTAAATCACATTTAACTGCAATAATTAAATTATTATATTTAACAAATTAATAATTTTTAAAATATAAGTAATTTACCTGACCATTTATTTATTATTGAAAAAATTAATAATTATTTTCCACTAATTATTAATTTTCAAATAAATAGTAATTCATTTTTGATAAATTATTAATTATTTTAATAATAAAAAATTTATTTTTATTAATTACCAATTTGCAAAAGAAATTAATTCATTTTCCCCTAAATACTAACTTTCACGAACTATAAATTTTTCTCTGACAAATTACCAATTTTTTAAGTAATCTATAATTCACTTTTACCTAAATATTATTAATTTTTATGTAAATAGTAAGAGAGGGAGAGGGAGAGGGAAAGGGGGAGAGAGAGAGAGAGAAACTTTATCTTGAACAAGATTGTGCAAAGAGATGTGCAATGTTTGCCTTATTTTAGATATACCGATGAATTTAATGTTCGAGAAGATCTGATGGGACTAGCTATTGGTGCTCATGGTGCAAATATTCAATAAGCGCGAAAGGTTGATGGCATTACAAATATGGAGTTAGAAGAAATGCACATTTAAGATATATGGAGAGGTAATAATAAAAATTATTATTGCTTGTATTATTTCGAAGAATATTGTTTTATAAAAATTTACTGATCGTTTTTATCTAAAATGTATATACATATCCGTATATATGTTGCATTACATTGGGCTGGTATACAGATGGTATTATTAGATTTTTTTTCTCAATCACAGACGCATGAAGCTGTTAAACTGTTCAGCTGTTGATGCTAGGATTCTGTATACAGAGACACGACACAATTCAGTTGTTTAAAAGCTAGATTTATATATTAAATATTATAAAAAACATCTATTTTACGATTAAACTTTTTCGTTAGAAATAGTATATGCCATTAAATATTTTTTATTTTAATGAAATAATGTAATAAACGACAACTTTTGTTCTTAAATACATATATTAAGTTTTGAGGTAATTTTGTTTATTGTAATAAAAAGAATAGCGCGCGCGCGCACACACACACACACACACACACACACACACACACACACACACACAATTGTATGAATAATATATTATATAAAAAATATAAATTATAAAATAAAGAAAATAAGATTATATGATTGATAAGAATTGTAAGTAAATTATTATTACTAATAAAATTGATGTGTTATATCTGATAATTTATACTAAGAAACGATTTAAATTCAATTCATATATGTATACATACATGTATACTCATCGGCAGGAATGCCTGGACACATATGCTTACGAAACACATATATATGTATAGATGTCAAATATCAAAATGTCCAGGTATTCCTGCTGGTCAGTGTACATACATGCAACATCGAATCAAAGTCAGTCCCACTTAAATTGTGAACTCCAAGACTTTATTTGTATTCTTCTCGGGACTTTAAGATTATTAAGGGGATGCTGGAGACGTCTGTTTTACCGATAAAACTACCATTCTTCTTCTACTTATGTAACGTCGTATTGATTTGACGAAATTAAAAATGCTTCTCCATAATTGCATTACATACATTAATGATTCAAGAAAACTTCGATTTTATATAGAAAACGAGAAAAAATTACGGAATTACAGATTTCCTTACCTACTTTTATCCTAATATGGTGTCTCAAGTTGCAGCGATTGCCATCAACTCATCACAAGATGTGCTTCATATAAGAGATATATCATTGATATGAACGTGGAAACGAGTTTCTTTGAATTGCACAACAAGAAAAATATCGATGAATCTTCAAAATCGAAATTAGAAGTCTAATATAAGAGTACAGTGTATATGACGATTCGTGCGTATGTGTGCGTGCAATGTAGGTGTTATCCTTGTCTATATCTATGCTAATACGGCTCTGTGATTGATTCATAATATTTTAAGATTGTATTTAAAACGGTCTTAAATATAAGAACCGATTATATGATGAATACCGACCAAGGAATCCTCATTTCTCAAGGAAGGATTATGGGCGGTATTCATAGTCGGATCTTATATATAAGATCGTCTTAAGTTTGGTCAAAGGCATTTTCTTGACGTCAGTTTTATCTTTTTTTTAAATTTCTGAGCAATTTTTAAAATTTTAATTGTTTCTTCTATTTCTTTTTAATAGATTCAATTTCTATGTGACATAAAAATCACGTGTAAAATTTAATTTCATGATAAAAAATTAAATATAATTTGTTTTTAACCGACTTCAGAAAGGAGGTTCTCAATTCGGCGAGCATGATGTATGTGGGTATGTCTACGATTTTTTCTGAAACTACTGGACGGATGCGGTTTTCACTGTCCTATAGAGCAATCCTTGCTCAGGAAAGTTTTAGTGCATAAAATAATTAGAACATACGGAGAATACGGAGCAGTAAGAAAATATGCATACTTAATAATTACAAGCAAATAATAAATTATTATTTTTGATTCGTATCAATTGGATAACGCACTAAAGAAGTATGAATTAAAAAAGAACTTTTTAAATAAAATTGACTTCAAAAAAGCTCTAAAAAGAATGAAAAAAATTAAAAAATAAAGAAGGAAGAAGGAGAGGCAAGAGAGACAGAGAAAAAGAGAGAGAGAGGGAAAGAGGGAGAGAGAAAGAAAGAGAGAGGAAGA